GAAGACAGAAGTTCTCCATCAGCCTGCACCTCAGGAAGTCCCCCACCGTCCCCACATCACCATCGGCCAGTCAGAACTCAATTCAGTCCAACAGTTTAATTACCTAGGCAGCCTCATCTCCTCAGATGGTAAGATTGATGGGGAGATAGACAATAGGTTAGCGAAGGCATACAGTGCTTTTGGAAAACTCCATAAACGAGTTTGGCGTAATAAACACTTGAAGAAAAGCACCAAGATCAGTGTTTACAGAGCCATAGTGCTGTCTACTCTTTTATATGGTTCCGAATCATGGGTCATCTACCGCCACCACCTGCGTCTCCTAGAACGCTTCCATCAACGCTGCCTCCGTACAATCCTTAACATCCATTGGTCAGACTATGTGACCAATACATCTGTTCTCGAACAGGCAGCAATCACAAGTATTGAGGCCATGCTCCTGAGAACGCAACTGCGTTGGGCAGGGCACATCTCTAGGATGAAGGACCACCGCCTCCCTAAGATCCTGCTCTATGGTGAACTTGCCACTGGCTGCCGCAAGAGAGGAGCTCCAAAGAAAAGATACAAGGACTCCCTGAAGCAACAACTCAGCCTCGGGCATATTGATCACCATAACTGGTCCACTCTGGCCTCTAATCGGGAGGCCTGGAGACAGACCATTTATAACGCTGCTGATGCTTTTGAGAAGGCTCGCAGGATCACTCTTGAGGAGAAAAGACAACGCAGAAAGAATCGAACCTTGCAGAATATACCATCTAAGGAGTCTTTCTGCTGTGTCTTTTGCAACCGGACTTGCCTTTCTCGTATTGGCCTTTTTAGCCACCAACGCGCTTGCATGAAAAATGGGTAGAGCCCTTCCCAAATCTTCGTTCGCGAAGCCTAGCCATGATGATGATGATGATGACTAAATTTTTCCAAGGCCTGGGCTACCTCCTCTTTAAAATTAAAAGAACCGAAGACAGCTAATGTTTTGCTTCCTGTCTCACTGATTTGGCCATGAACTTCCCAAATCTATTCCTAATGAACTATAATGTCCAAATTATTTCGTACAAGAAGGACAGAGAAGTGCTGTATTATAACCTTGAAATAAGGGTCTGTAAACTCATTAGAACCAAAGAATCTTTAGTTAAAACTGATACAAACTTATAGGTGAGACTGCAAACCAGTGACAGTAGAACTTATGAAAGGAAACCCTGACCTCTGCCAGTTTCTTTGCACTCAGCCACGCATACCAAGATTCTTTAGTAACACACTAACAGTGTAAAAATGGTGGCAGTGGCAGCAAGCCCGAGGAACCCGGAAAGCTCTCTTCGGAGACCTCTGTGAAGCAACATTCTATTGCTGTTGCTCCTACTCAAGACAAGTAGTTAAAAACCTCACATATAACACACATTCTTGTACCATAAGTGCCTGTTATTCAATACTCCAGGAGCACATAAATATTTTACAACAATGTTGAAGGTAAACAAATGCAACAAAATCCTAAGCATTACGCTCTAAGCAGAAATGTCTACATTAGCTTCTCTTAAAGTGATACTAAATGCTCAAACCAGGAAGTATAACATTACAGCTAAAAGGGAAGCCAGGTTTACAGGGAGAAAAGTCTTTTGCTAGGCCAGCTGACATAGCTAGAAAATTCACATTCCAGCACTAATTTTTCACGTGTAGAAACACCATATTAGCTGATTTTAATTGTCTTCCTTTCCCTGAAAGAAACAAAAAAAAAAAAAAAAACAAAACAAAAAAATTAACCAAAAAATCAAACTGAACCAAACAAACAAACAAAAAAAAATCAAGGATATTCAACAGCCCAGACTGACTTCTAGGAGTGCGTATAGATTGTATACTCAAGCACAGACAAAGCTCAGGAAACATGTCCTTATCTCTAGTCACTAAGAAGTTCTTTCATCTGAAATAATGTGTTCTTTAGGTACATTCTTACTTGTTTGAGACACAGGTAACTGCAAAAAGCTATGGCCTTATGACAGCTAATAACTAAGAAGCTTTTCCGTTACATGCTGTTAATACTACCCTAGAAACTTGGGGTTTCAGATGTCTGGTTTCAGTATTTCTGACAGTTATTTACATACCTCGGGGGTTTTTTTCCCCTCTCCACATCTTACCTCTGTAACCGGCAATTCAAGCTGAACCACATCATCTTGTTTTGAAACAGGCGTTTGCAGAGCTGTGTCTAACAGTAAGATGCCATTGAGATCTTTCCTACATCCTACTGCATAATCATCCACAAAGATCACTTTATCCACAGCAGAAATATACTGACATTTCACCCGTCCACCTGGTTTAGCTATAAAGGGAAAGACAAAAAGCAAGATCCAATTAGAAAACAGCTTTTATATAAAAGACCTTTAATACTTGTTCTGAAAGTGATGTAAAACTTCAGCAAGATCATTACTACTTGAGATGATAAAAGCCTAGCATTTTAGCTATCACAACTTTCATCAAGCTTTTATTTCCTACATTAAAAAACAAAGTACCAAAATCTATACACCCCATCAACAACCACAACCATTTTATTCCTACAGTGAAAGCCATTATTCAAGTCCTGCTCCTACCACGAGGCCTAAACTAGTGTTTTCAAGCCTAATGTAGATGGCCTGGTACACTTGATATTAGCTGACAGTCGATAATAAGAATTAAATTGTACAAATCAGCACAAAAACTAAGACACAGTTGCTGAACTACCATTAAGGCACCATTTCATGAAGCAAAACAATACTCAAACTTCTGAAAACTAAGTACAGCATGTAACATGTACCAATGTTAATGTGTTCCTTGAGACACTAAGGTAGCTTATTTCTGCTCCGTGCTGCACATGTGATGTCAGTAAGAGGTTTGAGAAGTCTGGTGGGGGTGGAGGAAGACTGTCAGCAGATAGATAAGGAAAGACTGTGGCAATGGATATTATCCCCAGAAATGTTTAGTGTTACTTGACACTGCTATGATTATTATTATATATGTGTCTAAGGCTGGATGGATTGTAAAACTGCAATCCATGTAATATGCTACCTGTATAGAAGGCCACCTGCTTTAATTGTGTAACCTGCTGCTATAGAAGTGGACTGTATGTAAGTTATAAGTATATGGACACATTCTCCAAAAGGCAAAGCTGAAATTGCTGGATTGTCAACATAGATGTCTTGTTGCACAGGAACAGGAGTTCCATTAAATTTTGCATTAATCATGTCCCGTCCCTGTTTTCATCTTTCCTCAGACACTGGATACCATTTTTATTGTAAATAATTAAAAATCACCATTTCGGTAGCTAGAATGCAGTAAAATATCCAGGTAAGGACAGCTATGTAATTCTGTCATCTTCATGTTTTGATATAGTTAAATGGAAATAAAAACTTCTGGAAATAATAGGGCACATGAATCTGACCACATTACATTTGTGGTATCCTCTCTCAAAAATGTAGGTCAAGAACAGTTTTCTGGTGCCCTTCTCACCAAAATTTTTGAAACAATGACTCATATAGTCTCAAAACACAGGCTATATCCCTTTGCCTGCATTAAGGATACTGCAATTGTATAACAGTCAGAAACACTTCAAGAGCTCTGGAATCACTTGACAGTTGTGAAGTCTTTAGTCCTTCCTCGCCAAAAAAGCATTCTCTGAATGGCAAATCAACTAGTTTCAAACTGCGTTTTTTCCAATACATTTGAGTTCCTCACACAAGACTTTCTACAGACAACACAGCTGCAGGGAAGGAAGTAAGTTATTCTACAGGAAAATAAGAGGTTTTACAAAATTCAAATACAATTTGTAATGTCTTTAAAAGTATTAATTTCAACAACGCACTGGAAACTATTATGTAAATAAACTGAAAGGTATCTCATGCACTAAACTAGAAACCTCAGTAGATTCTGATGGTGTTTGCAGTCTATCCAGTGTGATCCAAGTGATGGATCACTACAGGATGCTTCCTTTAACCCATTACTTCTCCTCTTTCCCAGAGAAAATGGGAAAAGCAGCTCACCTTTTCTGGCAGTGCCAACACCATAACACTTTCTTTTGCACTTGCCTTATTTCCTGTCAAGCTGCTCATGTCCTATGACTAGGAGTTCAGCAGTTTGTAGGAGCCCCAGTCCTTGTGGCTTTCCAGGCTAGATCATTCTTATTTTATGATTTCTGCAGTGAAATCTCATGTCTAAACCAGCAAAAGGCTAATATCCTCTAAGTAAGTAGTCCAAATCCTTAGAAGCCAATGGAGATTACTAAAGAGGCAGATAACATGCCTAATCAACATAATATTTCTGCTCTGTTAAGAAACAAAACAAGAAGTTCTAACTACAGCACAAGAAATTGTGCCTAACAGCTATGATTTTCACTGTCTTGGTATATACTTTGTTGGTTACATTTACAGAAAGACTTTAGCCAAATTATCTCTAGAAAATTATTTACAGCTGCACTTTATTTGAAGCACATAAAAACAAATCAAGCTCCCTTAGGCTAAGTCGATGGAGCTTCAAGGAAATTATTCAATCAATATTTAATATTGTTCCAAAACCTAGAGAAACACATTCTGCAGCTGACTGCTTTACACTTTGAGTAGCCTCTGAGCCATTGACAAGCTGTTTTGCAAAAAGGAGTTTAATTTTGGAAGTTCACAAAATACATTTCAAGGTGGTTCTACTACTAGTCACAAACTATAAAACAGTCTACTTATGGTTGGCCATATGATTATAGTAGTAGACTGAGAACCAGGAAACTGAAGAATTTAGAAGTCACCATTAAGAAGTAACCGCAGTAGAAGAAATGCCTAGAAAAGTTAAATCATTCTCAAAGTATTGTCAGATGGGTCCTTTCTAACTCAGGATCAATGTTTAACAATCTGCCAAAGGACTCCGACCAATACCCTTTGAAAAATGTACTGGTGACACTCTAACATTATGTACTGCCTGTCCAGCCTGGCTAAGTTTACTAGCAATATGTAGTGATCTGCATCTTCACAAACCACATTTCAAAAGTTTCACAGGAACTCACCAAATTACTTAAGCTTGATCATCAAAATCCAACTGTTACTCTCATTTTAGCCATAATTCCTTCAGCTGTAATTTATTTTGGGTGGTGGAAGAAGAAACAGTCATTCAAAGTTTTTAATGATTTTGCTTTTCAGTCTTGGCACAGGTGGATCATAGCTTCTCCCAATATCTCTGGCCTATTTGTTTAGGATTGAAACCAAAACAACTTACAAAAAAACATCATTAAGTCTTTTGTCAGTTCCTGTAAGGAAACCTGGCAGGCTGCTAGCACGGTAGAAGTGCAAGCCCAATAGCATACTACATTATGGTATGTCACCTAAAACAACCTTAGAACTAGCAAACTGAAAACTTAAAATAAAAGCAAATAAACATCAGACCACAGAAATTAAGAATCTGAGAAAAGGAACATTTACCCTCCACCTTCTTTGTTTCAAAGAATACAGAACAGAGATTGGCAATTTCCTGTGATCAAAATCTGACCTTCAAAAATATTACAGAAAACAAACTTGTTTGGAGACTTCATAACAGTCTAAGCAGCATCTATTGTACCCCCATGGCTGCAGGCATTAAGATGGACCAAACTAATTAGAGAATTAGCTTTATATTTCAAGATGTAAAAGAATGAAAAAGTTTGTCTCCGTTTCTTTGCTATAAACAGATAAAGCCTCAAAGCTTTAAAGCTTAAGAGAAAGTGGTTGTCACCTGAATATAGGTGGCCATCATCATGAAGAGATGTAGGTTAATGTTGACAGTAACACCCTTATCTTTTGTATTATTGAAAGAAGTTAATTCACCTTGAAAACTGCTAGCCAGGAATGGCACTAAAACATATCAAAGTCAGTAATTCTCTCGGCAAGAATCTCCTAGTGCACAGCAAAAACCCCAAACAGTTTCTAAATTACAGTAAACTAACACTTTTATCTGCAGCTATAAAGTGAGAGTGGTAAACACATGCATTACAACACTAATTCCATAACGCTAAGATCCAAGTCCAGTCAAATATCTAAAGGAACATTTATAACTTTGATCTATGAATGCTGTTAGGTCTTTAGATTAGGAATTAAAATAATATTTTTGGAGAAACAGAAATCCCATCAGCTCAGCAGAACTGATGCACCAATACCAGTTTCTGCATTTCCAATTTAAACTAGAATATCCAAACAGTATCTCAGTACTCATTTCAAAACACTGCAAGCCTGGGAAAATAAATGAAGTTTCAGGAGATCAAAAGCCCTTCTATGTCATTAACTTTGTATCATAAGATTTGAACATCAAGCTATTTTAAAGGCAAGAGAATCTAAAAACTCAAGAAAAGGCCAAGTTGGCAGACAGCAAAACTATCCTTTCCATTAGAGGGAAAAACGCTTCTTGCTAGAACCTTACTCAGCTTCTTCACACAGTTTTCACATGTACCCGGGATTAAAAAAACCCATATGTATCAGTTGTCCTCATTTGTAGCAAGGCAGGAACCTTTCCTATTGCTACTGTTTCACATAATCACAAAACCAACTGAAAGTTAGCAAGTATAATATCTAATTATATGCTAGCTAAGCAACACACCTGCCAAGTCAAGAATATCAGGACAAGTGCAGTTTGAGGAAGTTATACAATACAAATAAAAAAACCCACCCCATCTTTAAGTTCACCTTGCTGTCTTAACTTCCTATATTTGGAGGAAACTGTTTTGAACTAATACTACAGAAAATCACAGCTATGGATTAGCTGCAAAGGGTTCATACAAATGAGGAGGAAAAGCAAACCAATGCAAGTCTGGTTTAAAAATTAGAAAATTGTCTCCAAATTGTTTTACCTCAGTGGCTCCCAAATGAAACTAAAACATGGTGGTTATGAACATCTGGGATCACAATAATGAGAAGATGTCTAAGGCATGTTGAAATCAGGCCACGAATGCTCATCACTACTGAATTAATCAGTCATAGATTCTCTCTTGTTCCTCCTCTTCTCATCCTCATGTACACCCTCAGTGGAAGTTTCAGCAGTGCAGTTTTATCTCACAGGCCCAGGCCCTTATTTGCTCTAAACATCACCTCAGCAAAGCAGTCTGCTGCCATCATGAAGACACTCTAAAAAAAAAATATTCTCAAACTTGAGGAAAAGACAGAAAGGAAACTATTAGATGATCACAAGTTCAAGGTCCTATTTTAGACAAATTATGTAAATGGGCTTAAACCAGCTATACACAAGCAACATTTTCTCTTTTAGATTCCACTACATGGACACACCTCTATCTGCCACATCAACTGGAAGAGCTGTCCAAAATGATTGAATAAAACAAAAACA